GCACAGCTGGTAGGGTGCAGGCGGGCCAGGTCAGCCAGCTCCTTACTTTCTCTGGAAGGAGGATCACAGGTGTCAGCGACAGCTCGGACAGCCAGGGGACGAGAGGGAGAAGGGGGTTGACCCAAGGAACTGTCTGCCACCAGGCCATGAGTCAGGACAACCACTGCTCGGAACTGAAGGGCCTCCCAGCGCCTTCCAGACTCACTGGAAGGGGTCGTGGGGTCATCTGGCCTGGGCAGGGCTGGCCCAGTGCTGAGGATCAGGGCAGCTCCCGCTCTCAGTACCACAGCATCCGTGGGTCAAGGGGCGAAGCCCACCTGGGGTCATCCAGCTGTCCCTCACCTCCAGGGGCTCCCAGACACCCCCCAGACCCTCAGTCTCCCCCGATGCCCTCACCTGAGCAGCTTCTCCTGATCCCGGTCCAGCCGCGCCCCGAGCAGCCGTTCCTCTCGGTGTCTGGCCCGGTCGTCCACACAGTCCTCATCTGCTCGGCCGTGTCCTGCAGGGGGACAGGCGGAAGTGAGCCCCCAGCCAGCACCCAGCCCACCCCAGACCCACTGGTCCCACTGCCCTCACCCCTCCCTGGGGCCCCCAGAGCCCCAACGGTCCTGCACAGCCATCTGTGCAGTGCCTTCACCCCAACATCTTTCCTCATGACACACCAAGCTCCCCCAAACCCCAATCGGGGTTTCTCAGGGCCAGGAATCATCCATTCCTTATGTCATCCCCCATCCAAAAGGCCTATGTCCCCTAGACAGGCAACCGTGGCAATAATTAGAACAACAGCCATGGATATTATAAGAAAATGTCATAAAACCTGTCACATAACAATGAAACGTGAGGCTAGGTACACTTGCTAATGCTATTTTACTTTAATTTTTTTTTACTTGAGAGGGAGTCTCGTTCTGTCGCCCAGGCTGGAGTGCAGTGGCGTGATCTCAGCTCACTGCAAGCTCCGCCTCCCAGTTCACGCCATTCTCCTGCCTCAGCCTCCCGAGTAGCTGGGACTACAGGCGCCCGCCACCACGCCTGGCTAATTTTTTAAATATTTTTAGTAGAGACGGGGTTTCACGGTGTTATCCAGGATGATCTCGATCTCCTGACCTCATGATCCACCCATCTTGGCCTCCCAAAGTGCTGGGATTACAGGCACCGCTCCCAGCCACTAATGCTGTTTTAACGATGGGAAAGCAGATTCTGAGCTGGGGTTTGGTGAGGATAGGGCAGAGTCCAAATGGAAAAAAAACCACAACCCAAAAACTA